CCATAGAAACCCCAAATAACTCTAGTGACCACTGACAGTGAAAATGCCTAAGCTTGGAGCTCTGGACCCTGAGGGACAGGAGGGAAGGTGGCCATGCTGGGCAGGGTCAAACCTGGACACCCCTGCTGCCCCTCAGAGATGAACAGTGACAGGCAAAGAGGTTGGAGAGGACAGAGGCCACAAGGGGGACAAGGAGAGACCAGGCCTGCAGAGGCAGGGACCCCCCCCCCCGTCACCGGGCACCTCACCTGACCTGGAGACCAGGCCTGCAGAGGCAGGGACCCCCCCCGTCACCGGGCACCCCACCTGACCTGGAGACCAGGCCTGCAGAGGCAGGGACCCCCCCCGTCACCCCACCTGAACTGTCTTCCCTGTGGCATCTGTTCGTGCACGTTAAAGACGCTGGCACCGGAAGGACCCAGCGTTCACGTCAAAGCTCCACCACGTGCCGGCACGTCACCCATCCCCTCCAGCCTCGGTTTGCTCGTCTGCAAGCGGGTGACTCCCACCCCTGGCCTGCCGTCTGGTCAGAAAGCCTGTTGGAGCCAGGGTGCCCTCTGAGGCCGGGAGAGGGAGCTGGCGCTGTGTCTACAGCCCGGGTGCCGAAGCCAGGTGCCCCTGCCTCCACGCCAGCACCCTTGGTCCCCCACAGCCTGAAATCACTCCCATTGTTGATTTTTGTTTGTTTTGGGTTTTGTTTAAAGGGTTTATGGATTTTTTTTTAATTTATTGTATTTTTGGCTGCATTGGGTCTTCATTGCTGCACGCAGGCTTGGGCAAGCGGGGGCTACTCTTCGTTGTGGCGCGCGGGCTTCTCATCGTGGCGGCTTCTCTTGTTGCGGAGCACGGGCTCTCGGCACGCGGGCCTCAGCAGCTGTGGCACTCGGGTTCAGTAGTTGTGGCTCGCGGGCTCTAGAGCGCAGGCTCAGCAGTTGTGGCACACAGGCCTAGTTGCTCCGCGGCATCTTCCCGGACCAGGGCTCGAAGCCGTGTCCCCTGCAGTGGCAGGCGGATTCTTAAGCGCTGCGCCACCAGGGAAGCCCTGTTTAAACCTCACCTTTGTATCTGATTCCTTGCCTCCAACCAGGCCCAGCGCTACATGCTCTTTATCTCTGAACTCATGCAGCTTACAAGCAGGCGGATTCAAACCCAGGCAGTGAAAACCCCTGCCCTTTGGTAGGTCGTGGTTTGGCCTAGGTGAATGGGCTGCTGACAGCGCGTTGACGGTGCCGGGAGGCGAAGGCGCCTGGGGCCTGGGGCGCTGTCCGCGGTGTTGAACATGGGCTCCGCGTGCGCTGCCCATGGTTCTGAAGACGCCCCAACGCCCGGGCTGCGCGGGGCTGGGGCCCTCTTGTTCCCAGATCTGCAGCGCAGTAGCCCGTATTCTCTCCCTTCTCTGGTGTTCTGAGTGTAGGGTACCCTTTCTCGAATAGTCAGGAGACCCCAGGAGAGGTATACCTTAGAGAAGATGAGCAAACAAATAAGCAGAAAGTTCCCCTTTCACTTGCCAAACTCCAGGTGAGAAAGCGGTTGTGTGGGTCGTTTGGGGGTGGACAGGCAAGAGGAGGGGGCACGGGGGCTTCTGTCTCCAGGCTCTGCCTCCGCCTCTGCCCCCTCCCACACGTGCACAGGACAGTAGCCCGTTCAGAGAGAGCACAGCGTCAGCCGCGGGACCCATTTGCAGAGGGGGTGGAACCCCTGCCCTGCATGTTTCACAGCGATGCCGAGGACCCTGGGCGGTCTGGGGTGGGGCGAGCTTTGCATGAATCTAACATCATTCAAATTGGGGGTTACTTATCCAGGCGCCCTGGGAACACCTAAGCACTGCTGCCCTTCCAGGTGCAAGGTGAGAAGGGAGGCCCCTCACCCCACCACCATGTACAATGAAGGCTGTAAACTTGTCGCCCTTCGACCTTCGAGCGGAGGATATGGGGACCTTAGAGGTCATATGGAATCCAACCCCCATAATTCACAGATGAAGAATGGAGGAGGGGGTTCACAGACACACGGTGAGTTAACGGCAGAGGTGGTGGGATCTCCCACCTGCTCCAGAACCTCCCAAAACTCCGTTGCTGAGGAGAGGATACTGGCGATGGGCTGAAAAGATTGAGTGCCCCGCTCTCCCCCTTCCCTCCCCTTCCAACACCTCCCTTCCCTCCCCTCTTCTGCATAATCCCAGCCCCCACTCACTCATGTTCCTGGGGCCACTTTGAAGGCCTTTTATCACCAGTCTCTCCCCAGATTTCTACCCTTGTCCATGTCGGTTCCTGCCTTGACACCCTCCCCCCCGCCAGCCCGCCAATGACCCCAGCTGGCCCTGACTGATGTGCAGTGTGTGTGGGCTCAGCAGCGAAGGCGGTTTCCTGTCCACTGGGTGGGTGGAGACATCCCCAACTTAAGCACTGATTTCACCTGTCATTGCCCACCTGGGGCCCCACAAGTGCAGCTGGTGGCTTGGAGATAACCTGATATGGCAGATGGGCAGAGACTGCACAAATGACGGTCTAATTGACAATCAATTGTGATTAGGAGCAAAAGGACGTCTTTATAGACCCAGATGCTCTAGGTTGAAGTCGGGGAGATGGGAGGTTGTTTCCAGGTATCCGGGAGAGGAGGAGGGGTGTGCGCATCTCCACGACAGGTTGCTCCTTAGAGATGGGAGAGGGGTGGGGCAGTAGAGGATGCCGCGATCTTCCTGACCCTTGTCCATGCACAGCACCCCCCTCCCCATGGGAAAGCGCCCCGAGGTCTCCTGTGTAGCTCTGGAGGTCCCCCTCACACCCCACTGCCCTGCCCCTGCTCCAGACTGAAGACTGCAGACTTTGCCATTCACTCCCTGCCTGCCAAGCTCCCAGTAGAATGTTTAGGGGCAGGGAGGAAAGGGGAGGGAAGGACCTGCAAACTCCAGGACAGGCACAGTGCTTTTATCCAAGTAGCACTCAGCCCTGATCGGCCCACCCCTCTCGGCAGGGAGAGCACTCTGCTGCGCCGAGTGTGGGCACGCGCTTTGGAGGGGAGCACAGTGTGGTTGTATATTACAGTATAGTATTCCTTTATGCGTATTACATATCTACTTAACATGTTGTATTCTACTTACTATGCTCTAGTGGCAATCACCATACATTGTACTACATCCACATCGTATAAGACGTCATTTTATGTGTGTTTGTGTTCATGTTGAATGAAAGTCCTACCAAGAGAGCTCACGTATCTCCTCCTCACGTGTGCGTATAACGGGGGTGAAAGCAGACCCCTGCCGCCCCCTGCGCACCCAGTGAGGTGTGGCGGCTTGGACTGCTGCGTTTGTGCCTCGCCTGGTGACCTGCGGAGGGACAGGCATGGAGCGTGGGCATGCCTTTGAGAGGCTCGTGCCACCCAGAGCCAGGTCAGGGCCCAGCCCTTGGGACTTGGCCCCTTAGGGTGCCTAGTAGCTGTGCCTCATGCGGGATCAGGCGGCAGCTCAGGGGACGGGGGACCTCGTGTGCCCCTCCCCCAAGACCAGCCCGGAGCTGGTGGGCGCATCTGTGAGCCGCAAGCCCCACGCGGCGTGCCCGGGGGCTCACGAATGGATTTGCGCTCGTGGGGCGCGTGCTGGAGAATGCGCGTGTTTGTGTGTGTGAGTGCGTGTGCACATCTATATTCAAACTTTGCTGGGGGAGGGGTGGAGAGAGCCTAAGAGTCCCTCCAGGAAGGTGGGGGTGGGAAGGAGATAATTACCTCTCTGTGATGAGAGATTATCCACCCTCCTTCCCCCAGAGGTGATTTATAATTTAAAGATAAAGAATAATCAAGTCCTGGCAAGAAAGGACACAGTGTTGTGGGTCTGATTAGAATCTCAGGACCGACCAGCACGCGGGGGAGGGGACCGGCTGGGGGAGGGGAGGTCTTGCCTGCCCCCCCGCCCCCTCCCCCACCCCCACCTCCCCTTCCCCTCCCCCGCCTCCTCGAGGCTAAGCATGTCCGAGCTTGGCCCAAATTACAGTCAATCGGTCCCCTATTATTTCTCCCAACTTTTAATTTCTGCTTCCAAAGGATCGTTGCCCGCGGTAATTGCAAAGGACCCGTCCTTGTTCGCAGAGCAGGCTCCGGGGACCGCAGTGTGAGGCGGTGCACACCGCTCACGCACACGCCCGCGCGCACACAGCCGCGCACCCGGAAGACACTCGCACGCGCGCTCCCACCGCCGGCTCCCGCCTGGGTCCCGCGGTCGGCAGGTGTGCGCGTTGGCGGGCGCAGGGAAGAGGGAGCAGCGGCGGTCCCGCCCACAGACGCCAGCCGGTCCCTCCACCCCGAGGGCCAGGGCCCTGGGGTGCAAACCTCGCCGCTGTAGACAAATGTGCGCACATAAAGACCCGGACCGAAGGACTTATTTCTCCGGGCGTGGGAAGGGGGAGTTTGCTGCGACGTTTCTCCTTCCTTGAGGCTATCGATTTCTGTGTAGGCCTCCTGCCGTCTGTACGATTTTTTCGGTTCCCGTTTTGGGGGGCGGGGGCGGGGGCGGGAGGACCCTCCAGCCGTCCCCATTTTCGATTCCACGTCTAATGAGCGACCCTGGGGGCCGCCGGCCCCGCCCCCGGCGGGGACTCGAGGCCGGGCCCTAATTTGACGACGCAAAAGGGGCAGGGGCGGGAGGGGACAGAGGGCCGGAGACCCTGAGCGAGGGAGACCCCGAGACACGAGAGGAGACCTCGAGCGGAGCGACGGAGAGAGGCGGGACCGAGGTCCACGGAACGCCTGGGAGGGGGCTGACGACGCGGCGAAGACCCCGGGAGTCGGCCCGCGAGGACCCCACTCCTCTCCCCAGCCGCCGAGGGGCACCGAAGCCTCGGGAGCCGCCAGGGCGCCAGGGCCCCGAGCGCCGGGAGCGGGGGGTGAGGCCGGCCGGCCGCCGGGATGCCCCAGCCAACTCTTAAGGCGCACCCGGGGGCCTCCGCGGCCCCTCCGCAGACGGATCCCGCAATTATTTAAAAGCCGGGGCTGTCCCCTCCCCCTCCGCCCAGGAGGCCGGCGCGTCGTTTCCGGACCAGCGGAGGCGCAGCGGCACGCCGCGAACCGCGACAGCCGCTCGCGGAGCGCACTCCGGCTCCGGGCTGTGGGTCTGTCGGTCGGGCCCGGAGCGCAGTCCGTGTGTCCCGCGCGGGACCCGCCTCCTCCGCCCGGGACCGTTCGCATCCAATTAGGCGCGCGCGCTAACGAGGGCGGCGGAGCCCGCGGCCGCCTGCGGGCGCACGTGTGTGCGGCGAGTGGGCGCGTGGGCGCCGCCGGCGGGGCCGCCATAAATGAGCGGGCCGGGCGCGGCGGGCGCCTGAGGCGGCGGCGGCGGCGCCAGGCAGCACCGGCCGAGCGCGGGGCGGCACGGGGAGCGAGCCGAGCCGCGGCCGCCGGCACGACACCGTGCGGCGTCGCCCGGGCCGCCGGGGATGGGAGCCCAGTAG